CTGAAGTCTTCTGGAGAATAGGTTTCAAAATATGTAGAAAGTATTTGAAGAGGTTTTGATCATATTAGTCAAAAATGAGCCTGGCTCAAACATAAGTTGTAATTTACCTCACGGACTTTCTTAAGACAAACTTTCTTTCAAAATCATATGGTTTAGGGGTCATAAAATAGCAAATATTTTAATAATCATCTTTACTGTTTGAATTAAGTTATGGTTAAGTTGGTTCACTCAACTCTGAACACTGAATGAATATTCATGGACATCTATTACAGAGCAAGTATTGTACTAGGCTCAATGATTTTAAGTAGGGAATTCATAAAAGCAGTCCCTGCTGTTCCCCACATTGATTCATGAGAAAAACTTTTATAAAATTGATCTTTCCAAGATGAATCATATAGCTTTGTGAAAATATATTGCAGTTTATGATTACATTTTTTTCCAGAATGTTAACATCAAATAAATAGACACCAAGGAGTAAACAGAAAGAAAAATTTTAAAAGATATAATTATAGGCATGTGATCAATTAGAACGAGGACTATGACTTCTCCACAGTTGTAAGGGTAATGGCAAAATGCCACATTGTAGTGTAAGCTATGAGGTGATATACATCATATTATGTTCTCTCCTTTCTAAAAATGATATAAAATATTCCCCCATTGATAATCAGAGGATTAGAACAGGGATTTAAAGGGGGGAGAGGTCATCAAACCTTTCATTACTGTTTGTGAAGTCGAGTCTTAGAAGATTTTGTTACAATAATACACTTACACGCTTTTAAATTAGAAACATGGAGCTATCAATTATAGTTCCCAATCAACCTAAATAAACAGTCATGAAGAAAGTGGATGTAATTCTAGCCCAAACAAAAATTTCCATTTGAATTTTTAAAATAATGGAAATAACCCAGCCTTCACAGATCCCAGAAGTCTAGGACCCCAGCTTTGGAAGTCTATGCCAGTCTTAACTAGGTTTTCAGGAGATATGAATTGGTGCCTCCTCCTCATGTAACAGGAGGTAGAATTCTGTTTGTCTTCATTAATGAGTCTTGAAAAATAATCATGCCTGTTTCTAAGGGAAAAAAAACAGTGTTCAAGACTCAGAAGATAAATGCTAGATTGAGGCGTACCCATTTGACTGTATCTCTGGTTCTTCCTTTTATCAGCTATAAAGTGCACTTTTTTTGCCTTTGTCTAATCGAAGATTTTAACTATCATGTTCATTATCTTGAATCTGTTTTTACTCTTTTTTTCCCCTATGTTTCCCCACACTTTATATTCTTTCTTCTAAAAGGTACTTGCATAGTATAATTGTCTAATAAAAGGCAAATCTTTTAAGGAACAACATATACTAGTAAGAAGTGTTCCTTTAATTTTCAGTCTAGAAGTGAACAGCTCTTTATAACAGAATCTCACCTAAGAGGTATCTTAAAGCATGGTACAAAGTGCTTATGCAGCATGTTATAAAACAGTTCTGTTGAGGACATTTGGATCTTTGGATGTGTGGTTTGCTTAAAGTACCCTGCAGTAGTAAGCTTGCAGCTTGTTTCTTCATGCTTTCTTTAAAAACATCAAAAGTTGTAAAAGGTTTATTTCAGTGCATGTGGTAGTGTTTTGTGTGTAGCTCTTTGTTCCTGTTCTAAACTGGTATTAACCACTGAAGTGAACCTTCTCCTGGGTTTGGCCTTTGGCATTCACAGTGTATTCAAAACCTAATTACAGATTAGTCTATATTTGAGACTTTTAGAGCAAGTATCAGAAGACTCAAAAAGAAAATGAGAGTAGCAGTATCATTTCATGTGGAGATAAAGAGACCCAAAATGTGAATGGGTGTCAAGTCATCTAAAGAGAAGAAAAAAGAAGAAACTTCATTCACTGAGACTGGCGGTTTATGAGTCGGGGATTATGGGAATATTCATGACTCAATCAAGAAGCACAATGAATTGATGTTTGAAATAGCTCATCTTTTAAGTAAACATTGGGTAAAATGGAAAGTAGACTCCATATTCACTTCATTTAGAATTGTGTAACAGAAATAGTAGTTTGATAATCCCTTCCTGAGTTGGTTTCATTTATCAAATAAATCACAAATTCTATCAGAATTCTTTAATTATAAAATTTTAATAGGAAAGGGAGTTTGCTTTATAAACACTTAATCTGATTTATATTCATATTCCTGATTTTAACTGAAATATATCTTATTTCACATTAAAGGTAGTATTTGTAACAAATAGACTTAAAATAATAGTATTTGCTTTATTACTATTGATGTTCAGTTTATGATACTGAATCATACTACATTTGAATTATAGGAACACAGACAGAGCTAACTCTTCAAGCTTTAACATCCACATCTTTAGTAGTTACACCTACAGGATTGAATGAGGACCAAATGAAATTTCTTTTTCTTTTTTCTTTTTGCCCTAAGGATTGAACTAAGGACACTTTACCACTAAGCTACAAGCTCAGTCTTTTTTTTTTTTTTTTTTAATTATTTTAAATTTTGAAACAGATTCTCCCTAAGTTTCTGTGGGTCTCACTAAATTTTGCTGAGGCTGATCTCAAATTTGTGATCCTCCTGCCTCAGACCTCCCAGGTCACTACAATTATAAGTGTGTGCCACCACTTGCAACTGAAATGTCACATTTGAAATTACCACAGACATAGTAGATACTTCATAGATTTTGAGTGAAAGAGTAACCAAGGAATGCTTCCCAAAGAAAGGATATCTTCGTGTACAATAAGTGCATTGGGCAGGTGAAAAAATGACAAATAAATGAATTTTTTTTTTTTTTTAGTTAGCATTAAAAGAATACATCTGTGACAACTGATATTTTTTTCTTGTAAGCTTCCCCTCTGTTCATGACACCCATCACAATTGCTCCCCACTTAAGTTCCCTTTGTGTCATTCTTGAGGTTTCAAGGCATGGTGGTACTATGTCCTGATAGTCTAAATATAAGATTTTTTAATAAAAGCGTAACTTCTTAAGGGAAATTTGACAGGTTTTTTTTTTTTTTTAAATTCTATGGTTTTCATGTTAAATAGTTCTTTTAAGTGATACCACTGTACCTCATGCCTACAGATATTTTGTCCAGCTGAGGGTAGAAGTCATTAATAGGGTAAAAGTGTGGCTAGCTGCCTGGTTGCTCTCAAATCATGTATCAAATCTCTTTATAAGGTACGATATGCCCAAGTAGAAGTATTTATCATGGAAGCATTCAGAGGCACTACTGAGCCTCTAAATGCCTCTGAGGTTTCTGTGTGCTGTGCTATTCAAGTTTTTAAAGACTTTGTCCATTTCCAGAATTCTGTGAGACAGTTTAGAAAACTTTATCCTCCTCCTGTACACCCTTTTAAAAAATCCTTTAACTGATAAATTGTACTTTTGTGAAACGTTTCTACTCATTGCAAAAAACAGACTTGACTGTTTCTAAGCAACTAGACGGAATAATTTTAAAAACTAACAATGTAGCCTTATTTTGGGAAGGTACTTATGTTTACTAGTTTGACTGCTATTAAGAAATGAAAGCCAGCCTATCAAAATGTATGGACTAAACTAAGACATAGGTTGGGATTATTTTTCTCTACAGTCCTCTAGTTTAATCTTGTCTATAAGGAAGTAACGTCACCATTGTGATAACTATTATCATAGTTATGCTCAACAAATACTTTGATTAAAACAGGAGACCCTTCTTCCCCATAGGTTTTATATTAATCTTAATTTAATCAAAAGTTAGAAATACTAAATTGTCAGAAAATGATTGTGATATTACGGTCTTAATACACAGCCATAGAAGGCTTTGTAATGATTGCATGCGATGCTAAGAATCTACAAAAAGAACAGTTCTTTCTTTTATTGGGTACTCATCACTAATGCCCCTTGCTGTTAAAAAAGTCACTTGTATCTTTAATTGCAGATTATTTTCTTTCAAATATAAATGCTGAATATGAACTGTATCATCTATGATTTTTCTGTGGATACAAGTAGAATGCTTGCCAGTTTTACCTGTAGATCATTAGCTTTAAACCAGTCAGCTCACTTTATCTGATAATTTCCATAATATGTTAAGTTATATTACAAAACTGTTTGTAATCATGCTTAGTGTAAACCATAATATAGGAGATGCAGGATTAAGTTGTCAGTAATATGAATCATGACTTTTCCACTTTCAGTAAGAGATCATTATATACTGCAGATTGTTCACATTTGTAGAGAAAAATGTACATTTCCAAGATTTCATTTGGAAGTCTATAAACCTGAAAAACTTATATCAAGTAAATACTGTAAATCTGCCTTTACTGGCTCTGGTGTTTTAAAACTTTTTTCATTTACAACTGGAAAAGTACTTTTTTGTGTGTATTTTTAAAGTGTTATCACCTTTCTCTGTATGTTGTGAATATTTCCCACTGTTTTCTTTGCCTTTTAATCTTGTGATATTTAGAAGTGAAAGCATACATTTCTATGTGATCAGAATGGTTGATCTTTCCTTTGTTATTTCTCCTATTACTTTATACTTAAAAAGTCATTTCCTAGTCTAATAACAGTTAGAAATCCATCTGTATTTTCATTTTTTTAAAATATATTTTTTGGTTCTTTTTTGGTCCCCCTCCCCGCTTTTTTTTTGAGTTCTTAAAATGGTCTTGCTAAATTTTTTTGTTTTAGATTTGCTGAGTCCTTGCTTGGGCTTCAAAGAATATGAGAACTTACTAAAATTATATACAGAATGGTACATCTATTCTATACATGTATTCTCTGTAAGAATCCCTAACTTTTAATAGATTCCAAAGCACACACATCTTGTCCTCCCTCTTTCAAAAAACATTATGTGGACCTCAGATGGTATGGTAGTGGGGCTCTAACTTTTTCCTTATTCTTCAGATAGTTAAATAAGTATATTAGACCTTTTAGTAAGTGATTATCTCCTGTGGTTTGCCATGCCTTTAAAAAATAAATTTGTTTTTATTTAGCTAACTCATTCATTATCTCTTTTTATCTCCATAGAGAAAGTTAGAGAAATTCAAGAAAAACTTGATGCTTTCATTGAAGCTCTTCATCAGGAGAAGTAAACGGTATTAAGTGAGTAAAAAATCTGCTGCTGCTTTGGTACCAAGTACAAAATTTGTATTCTAAATTTTTATTAGCAGTTTACTACTCTGCTTGACTATATCCTGATTGTTCCTTACAATGTAATAACTTTAAGGCATGAATCTGAGAAATAGCTTCTGAATTTCATGTATATAATGTTCCTTTAAAAAACTTGATTGCCGTCTGGCTGAACCAAAAATATCCTCCAGCATTCATTATAGGCAGAACAAAGGTGAATGTAAAGAGCTAAGATATTTTATAATCTGCAGATCACTCATCATCTGCATGTTAAAAACTGAACTGTGTTATTTGTTTTATCCCTTATTCATAATTATTGGATAATTATGTATATGTTAAATATTCAACTTGTAAAATTTCTTATTTGGCTTGTCTATAGTAATTTTAATAATTGTTTTTAATCTTTTTCTCTTTTGTTTAAAAGCATTTAGATAAACCTTTTTCTGTTTAACTTACACAGCCTTAGAATTTATTACTGATCTTGATATACTGACACTTGTCTGATTCTGTGAAGTCTGGCATTCTAAGCATGTTTCTAATAAAATACATATTTAAGGATTTCCCTTAGTAGCATTATAATCAGTAATTGTTTGCTTTTACTGAAGAATTTGAAGGGAAAAAAATGCTATGGTTAAGCCATTATCATTTATTGTAAAATTTCCATTCCTTATCTGTGAGCTGTGTACAAGCAGCCTGCATGTGACAGGGTGGGAACTGGAAGGAGTAGAAATGTAAAGTTACTTCCCTGGCTGCACCCAGTTCAGTCTTAGCAAAACTACCACCTCTTCTCTACTATAGGGAAAATATTTTTGAGAAAGCAAACTAAAAAGAGAGGTACTGCTCAGATCATACATCATTTATAACAGTACTCCAGCAATAAATGAGAAAGGAAGGAGTTAAACACATTTCAAGGAAAGCTTTGTTGCTTTGTTTTGCTTATTTCTTTAAAGAACAGATATATAGAAGTATACAAAAATGCAGAATTATCTTTAACACAAGCCAAATATAACTTTGGTGCTTTTAAAGGTGTTTATTTACATTTATAAATTTTTCTACATCTTCCATGTGTAAAAAGTTATTTAAAACCATAAAATGTTCCAGTATCATTCTGGTCATGGTAATTAGTATGACTAGATAGGATTAGCGATGAACATTTTTAGTGCTTCGTGATCTGGATCTTCTCCTTTTTGGCACCAGTGTTCACATGACATTTTCATTTATAGATATGGCCTTTGGGGAAAATAATTTATGAAAACCCACAGAAACCAAATCCATTAAAACTACAAGCTACATTTCTGGGTTTTGTAATTAACTGAGGAAGTTCAAAGCCAGCCAGTGTTATTTGTTTGTTTTGGGGGTTACCAGTGTACCCAGGGGCATGGACATTTGGCTACTGAGCCACATCCCTAGCCCTATTTTGTATTTTATTGAGAGACAGGGTCTCACTGAGTTGCTTAGCACGTCACCAATGCTGACGCTGGTTTTGAACTCGTGATCCTCCTGTCTCAGCTTTCCAATTAGCCAATGTTTTATCTAATAATGTCTGCCCTCTAATGTGGTCAGTGTGATATCTAATTGCGATTGCTGCTAGAGATATTCCTCTTCTCTGCCAGAGTGTCTCAGGAACAAGTATAGTACAATCCTAAAAAGCAGGTTGTGATGATACTGGTGCGTGGAGAGACTTTGCACATAGGAAAACCATCCCAATTTTTCTTGTTTCCTACATGCCTGGAGTCTCTAAGGCCCTTAGCAATCCTTGTGATTTATGACTCTAAACTCTTGCAAAATATCTATGAATTGGACACATGATCTATTTTTTACCTTAAAGATCCATTTAAAACAGTAAATCTGGCAGAGTGGTAACCTTTCTTCATTCCAATCATTTTAGAAAAGTTACCAAGCATTGGGAGAAATAATTGCTCAATTATAGTTTTAATGTATGTGGAGTTCCTTAGCCTTCATTTTGCTTTTAAAAAAATAGTTTGAAGTAATTATAATTCTAATATTTACTGAGGATGTTTATACCCAACACAACTGTGTAGTCTTCTCTACTAGTTAGATTTTAAACTTTTTCTTTAAAAAGAAATGAATTCTAATATATTTTCATTCAGACATCATACTTGATAAAATTATGCTAATGTTTTATGGTAGATGATATTCTAAATAATTTCAATAAAACTTGCAAACTTAGTGAAACTTCAATTTTTTTGTGATCATGCAGTAATAAAGTTTGTTTAGAAGTTTTGCATTTGTCTCCCTATACCTAAATTTATCAAATGGGTTTATTTTTACAGAATTCTACTCACAATGTAATCACCTCTACGTACGTCTAGAGAAAGAAAACTTCAAAGTCTTTTGTCCTGCCTCTTTTTCTTCTGCTATTCCACCTTTCTACCCATACAATAAAGTCATAGGATACAAATAATTTATGTGCGTTACAGGCACTTTAACCATCAGCTGCCTTGAATGAAAGAACAGTGGAAATGGCATTGACATCCTATTCAGTTGTTCTGGAGTGACAAATTGGGATTATAAGATTGGTGTTACCATTAGGTATACTCCTTGAAGATAAGAAACTTGCTCTCTGCTGTTGTCTTATTTGTGGTGGCACTAAATTTATTAACAGATGTTACTCACTGTCAAGTTTCTTTTCCAGGAATGTAATGCTAGTTGTTTTGGAATAAAACATAGCAATTTTTAAGAAGTTATCAATTGTATATAAAATGATGGTAGCCTGCTAAGTCATTGTCTGTATCTTTAATGTTCTATATCCAGGAACTATTTGAGCGTGATAATTCAATTTATATTCACCACATGAAAGAAAACTGGGTAACAGAAGAACCCCTTGGATAGGTTAATTTGGATTATAATAATTCAGTGTATATTCATTGAAAGGAACCTCAACCCTTCATTGCTAGACAAGAAGTTAGCCTTGGAAGTTGTCAGTAGCAGCTTACCTTCAGTTGCTATTTTTACACTCCCTATATCCATTTGAAATTAATTCATTTTGAATATTGTATACTTAAGTTAGACTTCCTGTTAACAGTGGTTTCTTTTTCCTATTGACAGAGCCATTGGATTATGACAAATGATGAAAAAGATGAAGGATAATCAATTGACTAATTTTATTTAGAATATTGTCAAACATTTGAACTAGGAATCAGGAAAAGACTTTCTTTCATATGAGTTTTTTCTTTTTTTCTCTCAGTACTGGGGATCAAACCCATGGCGTTGCATGTACCAAGCAAATGCTATACTCTTAGCTACACTCCCAGGGCCTCCATATACTATTTTAAAAACTTTCAACAATTAGAATGATGTTGACCATTCCCTCTCTCAGCTGAAAATTTAGAGAAAAATTTAAAGTTTAATTCTTTGCAGTTCAGTTATAATAATACCCTCACAACATTTTCTTGTGTTTTGTATAATCTTTATTGGTTAAAGGGCTTTAAAGCAAATATGCCATTTTTTTTTTTTAACTTAAAATGTCTTTCTCATTTGCTACCTTTTTAAGTCTTTATTATGCTAATAAAAATGCCCATTGTATAACAGTTTTTATTCTACAGTTTACTTAATTTTATGTTTTCTTGGAATTGTTATAATTCCCTTGTTGATAACAATTCCTTTGCCCAATTCCCACTTTTTTTTTTAATCAGGAAAAATTGATAATCCCTTAAGATATGACACCTCATATACAGAGTTGGAGAATGTCACAAAATATTTCAGAAACTAGAAATTCCGTGAATATTTGCTTTACACTGTTTGATAAGATAAGTAGATCCAATTTTTAGCAGCTAGCAGCAGTATACATATTGTTATTTTGTAGATGAGTAGTCAAGAACATTTTGTGGGTTTTGGGGGGTCTATGGACAGTGGTCAGCAGAAAGGGAGTGAACTTTGTGATGTTCTATACAAGGATTAGGAGATGGCTTCACTGCTTGAACACTCTAGCTAGCCTCTACCTCTACTACTACCTATAGCTACAATAGGTAGGTAACCCCTCACTGAAGCAGACATCTTACAATGGTAATATTCATGAAGTTGTAAAATACTTCTTACAACTACACACCTATTTCTTTAAAAAGAAAGAAATAGGACCATATTTGTTACTGTGAACTTTAGAGGGGAAAAAAATGCCCTCGTGTTAGTTAGTAATTTTTATCACTTCCATGTGTATAAATTTTAAAAATGGTGGTGGGGACGAAGAAACGGCTTCTTTGAGGAGATCAATATTATAACTTAAATATGTTAAATAGATCATAAAAACGTATTATTAACAATCCCATATGAATACTGACATTCTTCCTATCTGTCCCCTTCATTAAAATTGGCTTCTTTCGTGGTTTTTTCTTTTCTTTTTTATTTTAGCTGATCTCACACTAAATATGCTTCCCCCGCCCTCAAAAAACAGGTATTTATTAAATGCAGATGCTGTGAAGAGAAAAAAATAAAATTCAGTCTCAACAGTAAATCTTGTGTGTTGTGTCTATAGTTCAAAAATTTAAAATGATTGAAATTCAAGGTAAAAAAAATAATTTCAGATATTCAATATGCAGAAGTGAAGACAAATAGGACAAGAAATCATTTGTTTGATGTCAGAATTTTCAAAAAATGGGGAGAATACAGCTTTGTATGGAGGCTGAAGAATTTTTAACAGATGATAGCCAAAATTAGTTGGACAGGATGTTAATCAGTGTGTATAGGTGAAGCAAGTGGTGTAGCTCTTGCTCTTCACTGTCTAATTGACTGTGGCCATAGTCACAGGCAGAGCAGTCAGCCTGTCTTGTCATTTAATTAAATTCTCTTTGTGTTATTCTGCTTTCCAGGCTTTATTCAGAAGGACTCCTTCACATAAATTATTTAGTGACCAAATGTGAACCAATAATGTAAAAGTGAGTAGGAAACATTGCGGAGAGTTTTGCTTCCTCATGTTACAATTTGGGAATTTCATATACAAGATTCAGTGTATGGGTTTTAAAGATGAATTCCTTAGCTAGTTAATAATTTTGTATGTATTTATTTTAGATATATTTACCTGAAAAAACAAACATGATGTTTTCTCTTCAATAAATGGGATCATAGTAATGGTCTTTATCTCAATTTTCAAGGCTGATATGTATTTTACTTTCAGATATATTAGCATTATGGAAATATGCTTAAAAATGTGTTCACCTTTTGAATGATCATGGCTATGTGTTATTTAAATATTTAAAGCTTGTTTTTCACTTGTACACTGTGAATGAACTTTGTATTATTTTTTAAAAACCTCATACTACATGTAGATGTTATTGCAACTTATATTTTGCTTGTGCTTGATCTAAGGTCATTTGTGTAGATAAGTAATTAAAAGATAATTAAATCACATTATAATTTTATTATTGAAGAGCATCTTTTTAAAAATTTTCTTTGTTTCTAATGAGGAACCCTATAGTGTAACCAAATTCATGGTCTAACAAATGTAGCTGAATTCCACATACTTTACACAAAAGCTTAAATTCCACATACTTGACACTGCACAGTTATAAAATTACCATTTTCAACTGGTGAGGGTTTTTTTTCCATATCTCAATACTTGTCAAAGCATTTTGGTATTTTTTTTTTTTTTTTGTAAAATATATAACATGTTTTGTAATTGCATTCTGCTGCCGTGGCCATCATTTTCATTAGTGATGCTAACATATTCAGTCGTATATGAGGTTTACTAAGACTCAAAAGTCATGATTGTTTCAATAACGAGGACTCAGTAGTTGTAGACTATATTTTTGATCAATAAATGTCAATATCCTTTTTTTAAAAATAAAGAAAAAAAATTCATTTGGAAGGTGCACAGGCAAGATAAGTTTCAGTCATGCTAGCTCTTAATCTTTTGTGTAGTTCAAGTTCAGAATCTTCAAGAAGTTTGAAGTATTTAGTTACTGAAAACTTATAAGAGCAGTTTATATTTTCTTTTAGCATATTCAATTCAGAATTAATGTAACTATCATTTACAAATATGATATATCACATTACAAAGTATTTTAAAATAATCACATACCCAATTTATGATAACTAGGATTGTCATGTTATACACACATTAAACTAAATTGATAAATATGGAAAACTTGAGGGTTAAGACAAGCACTGCAAAAATTATTTAAAAAAATAGGTTTGATTCTCAGCACCACATATAAATAATAAATAAATAAATAAAGCTCCATTGACAGCTAAGAATATATTTAAAAGAAAAAAAAAGTAGGACAATATCAAGTAAACTGGGTGATCTTGAGCCTGAAGAACTGAGGGTAAGACACACCTATATCATAAGTTATTAAGTTAAACCTGTTTCTTAAAATAACAGAATTCCTAGCTTAAAACTTGGGAGTTTGTGCATAGTCCCTCTCTGAAAGATTATTTGTGAGTGATGTTCACATTCTGTAGGGCCAATGTTAAGGTTCATTTAGGGTCAAGTCATTGATAAGGAGATATAACCCAGGGACATTTAACCACTTAGCCACATCCCCAGGACCCACTCACCCACCTCTGCTTTTTTTGAGAAGATTTTGCTAAGTTGCTTAAGGTCTCACTAAGTTGCTGGGGTTGACTTTAAACTTGGAATCCTCCTGCCTCAACCTCCCTGCCGCTTGGATTACAGGCATGCACCACCACATCCAGCTAACCACTACTTTTAGTCAGTTTTAAATCAAAGTTGTTCCTTTGTCTTTCGTGATAAAGAAAAAAATTCTTGTTTGTATTTTTATTCATTAACCTAGGTGTAACAAGGAATTGAGAATGAGATAAGAGGCACTGCTGAAGACCTAGTCAGCATGAGCCCAGAGATAGATCTCTATGGCTCTGTTGGGAATACACATTGCACTTTATAATATTCAAAGCAGAATTTACTCTTACAGTTACTGAATCATTGAGGAACAATATGGAAATAAGAATTTTATTCACTATGGCTTATGTGATCTCACACTTAACCAAAGCTCATGAGATCTGCAATATTTGTGAAATAATTTGTGTGGAATAGGTTCATTTCAACTTCTTGTTTCACTAAAGTTTATTTGAGAATCAGGCCAAATCATCAGAAAGTAATACTATCTGGACTACTTACCTATTACCTCTTTATCTAATATTAATGTCCTTGACTTCCACAAACAAATAGTATATGATGCATCTATTTGAAGGAAAAACATAGTATATTGCAAAAGTCTAATAAATCTGTTATCACTTAAGTTCATTGATGTCAGGATTACTGGATAATTTTGTACCAGCAAAGTTTCCTCCTCTTTGTCACAAAGAATCCACCATTATGTATAAATATAATGTACCAATTAAAAATATGGAAAGAATGTATTTGTCTAGAGAACTTACGTTGGAAGTGCTCACATTTGCCATGATGTATACAGCCTATCCCCTTGCATGCCATATATATATATATATATATATATATATATATAATCTTTTTCTACAATTAATTTATATATAGTAAAAACTAGAAATCACCATATCGAGGTCTCAAGGACATAAGTAGCATACACCCAGTGACAATGGTGAGCCTGCCTTCTCATTGCCATGAGCAAGACTGACATCAAGAGGCACATCAGGCACCTCTTGTTGTCAGTCTTACATGTTTGGAGGAAGGATGTCGAGAAGTGCCAAAAGTTTGCAGCCATCCCTGGAGTATGAATACATCCTTACGAAGCTCCTATAAAGTCTTAGCTGGACTTAGAAAACAAAGAGGAGTATTATAACTGCCCATTAGAATTTTGGGGTCTAGAAACTCCCCTGAAGCCTAACTCTCAGTATCCTATCTTGCCAAATTAGTCCTATGGAAATTTTATGTTTTCCTTTGAAATGTTGGAGTTAAGTAGAAAATCTGAATCCAGAGCAAAGAAACCAGGGTGGTTTTTTTTTTTGCATCCTTTATCATAAGCAGTATTATTACAAACCTGTGTACTCTCTGAAATGCACTGTCCTTCCAGAAATACTTTTAGGAAAGGTAGTATGTTTATGCTATCAGGAACACTTTCCGTCAGGGCACATGATACATCTAAAAAGGGCAAAATGAGCTCATTTAATAATAGAAGTAGCCCTGACTGTACAAAGCTGTTGTTGCATCGCAAGAATGGAATTACCAACAAAGATGTGATTCCTCGTGCAGCTGTACTGAAGAAGATGAGATTTGGGAGTTAAAATTTTATGTCAGCCAAAGAAAGGCCTTAAGTGTTAGGAGTAAAAATTAGAGTTTTGCAATTTCTCTTCAACATGTTAATTCTCACTACCCATGCAGAGCCTCTTAGTTTTTTTGAATTGCCCTGTTAAGAAACAATTACTTTTACCCCAGTTTTTAAAACCTTGATTGAATATTTGATTTTCTCAAATTATTCCTTTTGACTGTCTTCTTTTGTCCAATAAATCTAACCCTTTTGAAAGTTATTAGTAGAAGCCATTACAATTTCAACTAAATTTATTTCCAGAAATCTTATATACATTTCTTCTTTAATTTTCTTGCCTTGAGATATCTCTGGCTTCCCAAGGCTATTAGAATAGAAATTGCTACTTTTCTGCCAAAACTCTCCTGAGTTTATCTTTTCAGAATACCTCAAAAATGAGTGTGTATTGAACATCGCTGACATTTGCTGCCTCTGCCATTTCAGAGGCTGTGGGTACAAGCCCAAAACCACTTCCATTTCCACACATTGTTTCTTCTTTCTAAACATTTGACACATTTACATTCTTGTAATTACTATGGTTATAGCTGAATCAAGATTGTGGAGTGTAATTTTTGTTCATGTCAAAAGTACTATGTTATGGTACCCTATTGGTGGAATGAAGCATTTGGACTTGGATGTTCTCGTTGGGCACCCCCCTTTGATACAGTTCGCCAGCTGTGTACTCTATGATTGGCTGGACTTTTGATGTGCAGATACTACAAGTTGGTCACAAACTTGTGTACAATGGGCCTGTTCTGGTTCATGTGAAAATCAACATCCTTTTTTGTGTTCCTGGGTGACAGGATGCTACAATACTATTAGCATTTGCAAAGAGTGTGCTCTGTCCAAGGGTGTAACCACAGATCTTGGGCTGCTCAGTTTGTGTTTCTCTATTATGTTAGAGACACAAAGAAGCTGAAGGCTGGCAAAGGCCTGTCAAATCTTGTAATGTAGCGCTCGACCCCCAAACTCCACTTGGCCTCCAGGCATCTCTTGTTCCCTGTCCCACCCCTTTCCCTGAATGGGCTCTGAGGTAGGTAAATGAATTCAGCGGCCTGGTAGGCGGGGATTCCTTTCTGACCTCATTCCTGTACCATTTGTTTGCAGGCTTGTAGGGGGAGAGGAGGACATTTTGGAATCCTTTGTGTCAAATCATTTTCTTGCAGGTTGGGGAGTTAATGGTAACTTTGTCTGAAGCCAGCCAAGCAGAAAGCCTCCACAGATGAGGCGTGGCATGCTCAACCTCCTTACAGCTACAAGATGAGAATATGGAAATGAGGAACTTTCTAGAGCAGATGGATATGCAGCATGTCTGCATGTTCATCATCTCATAGTGGGAAGCTCAAATCTTCCTATGTATTTAAGCATAAAATAGTTATTTGTTTTAAAAAGATTTTCCCCTTTCTGAATCATTGTGGCTTTTATACTGATGTCTGTAGTTTGAATAATCTTTTGTGCAAACCAATTATTTATATATTCTAAAGTAGTTTAAAAGCCTCCCAATATCTGGCTAATTGTATAGAGTATGGTGTGACTAGAAAAGTGATATGAAGTTTTTTTGCCCTCGGATTTTCATTGTTTATCTAAAAAATGAACTACAGCTTTAAAACAGTGATAGCTCTAATTTTGCAAAAAGAAAAGAGGCCCAGAGAAAATAATAATTTTTTAAGCTAGTGTTAGAGCTACAAACTTTATATCCTGATGCCCAGGCATGTTCTGTTCTGTCACATGAAGAATTAGGTATAGGGCCATGATTCAGTGCCTCCACAGCCAGGCATTTTGCAAGATAAATTGGGGTTCTGAGTATTGATGTGAAACCTCTCAATTTTCAAATTCTAGCAGCTAAATTACAGCTTTCTGTTGATCTCTAGCCTCAGTGGATTTTGGTGATGCTGCTGATGAGGCTTTCTTAAAATAACATGACTTCTAGTCCTTCTTTGACATGCAGCTTTATTAAGAGGCTGAACTAGAGGGAAATTCTCATTTATTAAATATCTACTGTGCTCCAGGTATTTTAAATACATTGCCTCACTTGTTTTTGTTTTTGTTTTAACATACCAAGGTTGGCATCATAACCATTTTACCAACAGATCAACTCTTCAGACAAGAGGTTGTCTGAAGTTACACAGCTCACTAATTGATAAGGCCTTTTATGAGAGGCCATGTTAG